ATATTAAGTTGGTTTTAAAGCCCCATTGTACTACTTGTACCTTCTATATAGAAAACAATACATTAGCGGTGCCCGGTGGTCCCCCATGATCCTCTTTTTCTTATGTTAAGTGAGATTGTGAGAGCTGATTTGATGACATAGGCACCTGTCAGAGACCACGCTTGGTGGTCTAATCCCTCCTGGTCAAACTAGTACAGACAGGCTTTAATAAAAGCAGAAAAATGAGAGAAATAGGTCAGTGAAAGTTTGGGCAAAAGAACGATTGAAAATAAAAAAAATTGTGATTTTGCTTTTGTTTTGAAGGTGCGATCAATCACACACGATTGACAACTCTGTGACGTTTCCTGCGAGGTCTCCTTCCGTTTGCTCCGTATTACAAATCTTCGAAAAACGTATTTTTCCCCCAAAAAAATTGCAATCATACATTCACCCTGAGTATAGTTATAACAAATATGTCTATATACAACCCCTGTTTGCAACAGTTTTATTCTGTCATCAATGACGAAGAAAATGAAAGTTTATGACTTTTGCTGGACTGAGCAAAATTGATACAGGTATGAGCTAGCAAGATACGTCGCAATACGTCACACTGTTTTTATTCGGATATTGCTCCAAACTTTCACTAATTTGTTACTCTCATGTTCTGCTTATATTAAAAACAAGATAATATCCGAGACAAGTATGAAGAGGAACGCTAGAGAGAGGGGGACTTTCAGGAGAGGAACATTGTGTTATCAGGCCCTCAACTTCTTTCTATTTTTCGCTCTATTGACTATCTAATTTCTTCTTTCTTTCTTTCTTCCTTTCTTTCTCGTTTTTCTCCCTCTCGCATTGCATATCTCACTTCCATTTCCAAACGAGATTGCCTGGTGCTCTCCGTATCTAGGATGACTTATTGGTGAGGAGAAAAGAAATTACGTACTTTTCACGATCCACTATAAACCTACACTGTCAATTTTAATATAACTTATACCCGTACATGTTTTTCTAATGCACACACAAACTATAAAAACAAAAGTCGTATTTAAGTGTTAAAAACACTCGATTGCTTGAAAATTCTTAAGAAACTATCTGAATCGTGTACAATGCTCTCAGGGAAAGCTTTTAAAACCTGGGGGTGTTTCACAAAGAATAAAATCGACTTTAAGTTGGACTTAACTATGGCAGGCCATTCATGCCACCGTTGCTCTAACCGTTTACTGTCATTGGTCTCTCAAGAGACCTACAAAATAATCATGGTCACAAGTCTACAGAATTTATATTTTTTGACAATTCATTATTGAAAGAAAAAATATATTCAAAGGTCATAATGGTGAGAGCAAACGGTGGCATGAATGGCCTGCCATATTTAAGTCCAACTTCAAGTCGATCTTAGTCTTTGTGAAACGCTCCCCTGAACACCTTCCATATGTTTACTTTTGATACCTTAGGTATTCTGATTGACTCATCCATTGCTCGTCAACTATTTTTCAGGAAACTAGTGGCGGAAGGGTCTATCTTGATATAGTATTACCTAATATGGGTGACTGAATCTCTGTTACTCCGAGAATATATACGAACTAATATAACCTCAGGTTTACACCCGGAAACATATAAGCCTTCTCCGGCGTACCGGACGCATTCATTTGCCTTATGTTTCAGTTCAAAATATCATTTAAAATATTTTCAATCGACAATGCAAAGGTAATACAGGTAGGCCTAGTCATATTCATCTTTTACATTGTGATGGACAAAGAGTCGATATGCGCTACATAAGTGCTAGAAGTAGGGTGGCTGATTTGTTTTTAGTTGTGTTTGTAAACATCAATAATGCTTACAATAATTACAGCATGACGCCTTTATCAAAATTAACTGACAAATTTATTCGTGAATAGCCTGTGATGAGTTTCATAATTGACTGCATAAAAGTATGTTTATTACAAGGACGATGTGGTCTGCAACATTCTGACTATCAATAAACAGAGTGTAATTGTTATTATTATTATTCCAATATTGTCGGTACCTATTCAATAGACACCTGTGTCGAGAGCGGTAAGTGTGGGTAAAACGCCGGATGGAAACACCGAGCGTGGAGCAAACCAAAGACATTTCGTATTAGAGTCAAGAGCCTTCTCAAATAAGGGTTACCACACTGTCCGCTCAAAAATAAAGTTTAAGGTTCAAGTCCAAGTTTAATATCAAGTTCAAAGGTTGAAGTGAATAGAGAGACAAGCGTTTGCTTCTCGTTGCATTATCTGTTAAAAGGCAGGGGTTGTGAGGATTTAACACCGTTAATGATATAGTTTTTAACCACATTGCATACAAATCATTAAAGCGGTAAATATTTACAAGAGCGTTTGACATTTTTAAGCGTTTCGGTGCTGTGTTTGATGCAAAAATGCAAATTACCTTCCAAACTAGAAAATAATCAATATGTAGTGAAGTATATATAGTGATACATTTATCTCATTGAGAATATATTTTCTTTATGGAAGGTTGGGTATATTGCCAATCTATTGTTTATTCTTAAACCCTCGATTTGACAATAATTGAGGTTTTAGTCAACTGCCAGTATATTAGGCAATTACACTAACATAAGTTCTTCGTGATTTTGTTGTAAATAGTTAAGTGACGTCTTTATCACATTTTTCGTGAAATAGGGATACACGTAATATATGAAAAACATATTAATAGCTACTCGGATTAGTTTGAAAAGTATAGTTATGGGGCGATACACTTAAAGCTTATCTGCCGTAGTTTACAGGAGGGATTAGACAGCCCTGCAAGGTCACTGGACAGGTGGTTATCTCATCAACTCAGCTCTCAGTTAACATAAGAAAAAGAGGATCATGGGGGACCAATGGTCACCGATTGATCATTGTTTGTTATATAGAGGGCGCAAGTAGCTACAAGTAGTGCAGTGGGCCTTTAAATTGTTATTACTAGTAATCAAAACTCAAGTTATCACCAATGCAATATGAACATACCCCCTATTGAACCCTATCTCAATGCTTGCGTAACAATTTCAAACCTCAAACTTCAAAGTCTGGAAGTTCCTCTTTTTAAATAGTTTAGAAAAGGGATATTATTCCTAATGATGCAATGCACACAATCGCACATCAACTAAAATGTAACCGTTTGTTCTAGAGACATTTGAATGAAAGTAGGTTAATTGTGCAACTAGTTTGCACGCTATAGGAAATATCAGGAACTCAAATCCACAATCCATGTCGAAAAATCCGCTCTACCACAGCCTCAAATCGGAACCCCTATATCTGTCCAAGTTCAATCCCTTTTCCGTTCCTTCTTCCTTATACAATCTCTCTCCTTCTATATAATACCCAGATACAGGAAACACCGTCCCAATGACGATCTTCAATTTTGTTGACATTCTGGTTAGTAATTTCGAGCTTGGGGTCTGGTTTATGCGAACTTCTCCACACATCCTTATCAGCGAGTCGCAAATTCGCTTGGAGCACTTAAAACTTCCTGTATACATAGAGCGCCGTTATACATGGGATAAAGTAAAGTTTTATTTGTTGTATTATGAAGTAATTTATAAGGCAGCGAACGGCGCCGAGCATCAGAAAATACTGTAGATCGCATGCACGCGCGGAAAAGCCGACCAATAAGAGTTCGACAGTCGTCGCTAGCGAAAGAAAAAGTTCCATTTTCTGGATAATTTACTTGGGTATTCGGCTCGGCAAGATCGACTTATCAAACGGTTGCAATAACGGGAAATGACGTTAAATCTCGCAAAAGCATTTTTATTATACTACGATGTATGCCTATTATATAGCCCATAGAAATCATGTTCGGGTTAAATAAAACGCCATTGTAATATTCGTACATTTGAATAGATGCTCTACAAAAGTTACTGAAAATGTTATGGCTTAAACTGACAACAAAATATCAAATTTCTCATTCTTTTTTAGAATCAGACTTTGTGTGTATGGAATTGTTTAAGTGGTAAGGAAGAGCACAAAGCTTGTTTAAAGAAGGTCAACACCTCTTTGCGTTAAGAAACCCCTTAATCATGCACGCCCGGGAAATTCCGCGTTGGTATTTTTTGCGCTAGAAAATCTCGCAAACTCAATTTTAGAAAATTCCCCGCATCCTGCTAACCACACGTGCTATCCATTTAACCAAGCACTTTTTAAATCCGTCATGAGGAAGAGTGAGAGAAAGAGAGAGAGAGAGAGAGAGAGAGAGAGAGAGAGAGAGAGAGGGAAAGGTGGTTGGAAATAAAGAGCTTCCAAAAACATCAATTATAAGCTTTCCTTCCTCTTTACAGGTCTATCCAGTTAAAGATGAAGTTGAGTTCTGGTCATGCGATTGCATTTTAAAAGAAACGGTGTGAAATCGACCAGAAAAGGTTGATCATCTAGCATACAAGAATTTGTGTGTATTGCAAGGTTCTGGAATCATCAAAATGATAAGAAATTTGACCAAGTCTTGGTAAAGTTACAAACACTTGCACAGAAAGATGTATATGGGACTACACGAACACGTGGCGTAAAAAGCCGGCCCCCCGATTTTTACGATGTTACATGCATATTTAGAATATGAAGGCATTTGAAGAGCCATGCTTTTCAGGGAACATGTCTTAACTGATGTTCTTCCACACTTGCATAATAAGAATGAGTAATGCTCACAAATTTTTTTTCACCTCTTCCCAGAACTCAACCTTCTCTTTAACCCGACTAATCAAGGCAACTGGATTTTGAAAGGAGTAGCTCACAGCCAGCGTTTGAGGTCTTACTTCCTTGTGTTTTTGAGGTTATAACACCGGCGTATTTCAAGGAGGGACACGAGGGGTAATTTGCCCCATCCTAATAGATTTCAGACCAAGAAAAAGAACTACAGCCCTAATAGTACTAAGCAGGTTAGAAATCAATGTAAGTCAAGCAACGCATGTTATAGTTTTTCATGAGTCCTCCAATAAGTAATTTTTGGCGACGCCCCCCCCCCCCATGATTCACCTGCACATTCAGGGCCCCCTTACTAAAACATATGGATCACAGTTAGTTGAAATGTTCTGCCCCTCCTGGAGTCGAGGTCTGAATACGCCACTGGATCTATAACGCACACATACACACAAACACACACACGCACCGTCACACAAACGCACACACCATCGCATGTCACGAACTATATACGTCGGATTTAATAGCTCTCATTCGTTCACAGTTCAACTCGAGAGTGACAAGTTTGCCCTAGCTCGTGCAGAGTACAGTCGCTGGAGCTATCAGATCCAAGTCGTCAGTCATCCATACGCATTTGAGCTGGTCACACCAGTGATACTGTTCTTTGATCACACCTATACTGTTTTTACAGGACGAATCTACTTTATTGATATTAAAAGGAGACTCATTTATCTCTCACCGACGCATTTTACGAGTTTGACCTTTTTTTTCACACGGACACTTAAATCGAGATCTTAATATTTTGGGAGTATCTTGGAGGCATGATACTTCTTTAGGATCACGATGACGGTTTGCAAGAGGACTTCCAATCGGTGGACGACCATGAGTAAATCAATATGGAGAGTTATCATCGTTCATCTCATCGTCTTGTGGAATGTTGGGAGATCACAGCATTTATCGGGTAAGAATACTTGACAACCATACTTTGCTATGTAAAAATTGTCTTAAAAGGTGTACATGTATTTATATATCTATATTCAAATTCAATTTGTTTTTTTACCTATTTATTTAGTCATTCATTTATTTATTCATTTATCTATTAACTAGTTCATTTATTTATTCATTACATTCATAGATTTATTAGTCACATTATTAAATTCATCAACTTTGTCATTTCTTAATTGTTGGCAATAGTAGGCTTCGTTATTGGATCTACATCTCAGATTTGAAATCATGAAATTCGCAGTATCAAACAAAATTGTATTTACATCTTAAATTCTGGATTCTGCTTTTACTGCTGACATCTTGACAAACACTTATCTTGATACCGAAACATAATCAGTTGATTTGCAATTTTCCTGAAGTAATCTGAGGCCCTGGCAATTATATTTCGGTATCAAGATAAGTGTTTGTAAAGATGTCAGCAGTAAAAGCAGAATCCAGAAGTTAAGATGTAAAAACAACCTAGTTTGATACTACAAATTGTATTATTTCAAATCTGAGATGTACATCCGATAACGAAGCCTACTAATGCTAACAATTAAAGCTTGCATAAATTCTTATCAGTTCTCAAAATTTGTTTCCTTCTGAATGTGATTATCAATTAAATAAACTGTCGTTAAAAAACTCGCCAGAAGCATCAAACTTAAAAAACACTGCGTACAGGATTTGGTCAAGAAAGTTATCGTTATGACTTTGAGAGCCATAGCATTATGACGTCATCTGTTATCCAGATTGTGAGAGATATTGAAGTGACATTTGAAGATGAAATATCCGTTTGCCATTCGTGAAGGAAATATATCTATTAACCGTGCGAAGATGATGAAGATTTTTGGAACTGCCCTGAATACGTTGACAAGTTTTCGTCACCCCCCCCCCCCCCCCCTCCCATTTTATTTCCATGAGCGAGTGTGAATCTTTGGAGGTAATACTATACGGCAGATTGTTGCATTCCGCAAAATGTCAAAAATGATAGATTGCTTTATGTTAACGTCTTTTATGGCCGTTGTACAGGATGCGTCATTTCGCTTGCGTTATTACCTGCGCTATTATCAAGCTTACACTGAGGCATTGAACCCATGCGTCATTAATACAACAAAATGTTAGCACAATGCATTTTACTAACACCTAGTAATACCAAGTAATACCCTCATATTCTGCGTCAAAGACAACACAAGTGTACTGACGCAGTCCTACGCTTGTCAATGTTATTGACGCCTCGTGTCAAACACGCATTGGAAGGATATTTTGTGAAAGTATTCTCCTCAGTAAAATAAAATGAAATGTTGGGTCTTGGTTTGATATATTTAATAGATGTTAAATTTAAAGGTAATACAAAGTTTTGGTATGGGGTCATGAATTTGGTTCAAATGAACACATTGGAAGCACATGCGATCCTAAAATATTCAGTGATCGTTGTCGCGGATGAAATCGAACCTAAAGTTATGAAATTGTAAATAATAAACTCTTTATGTTGTATAGCTCCCTCTCAAGGTCAAGATATTAATTAAGCTATAAAACAATGTTTCTTGACTAAAATCGACCGATTAGCTATTCCCGTTTGGAAATGCGTTATCACAACTACATATTCTGAGATTTTCATGGTCGCATCTATTATTGTACGGCCGTAGGCGCTATTTGAAATTTATCAAAATTTACCGGGAGCACCGGTAAATTTTTATATTCAATTTTTCTTGAAAGCAGAAGTGTTTTAGGGCCTAAATTTTCTAGTGCTTATAATACATCCACAGGGGCATCAAAATGTATCAAAATGGGAAGAATCACTATCCACCCAATTTTCAAAATTTCCTAAAACTTTGTATTACCTTTAAGTCAAAGCCCGTGCCAGTGGACTGACGTAGTCTAGCTACGTCAAACAACATTATTGACGCATCGTGTCCGACACGAATTAGAAGGATATTTTCCTCAGTTAGAGAAATAAAGGTTATAGGTATTTGTTTAAAAGATTTGATAGATGGGAAATATAAGTTCGGTTTACACTCTATACCGTGATATTCTTCAGCCTTAATTGCTTTGAACGTTGTAACGACACAATGAACAATTAATTGTAAATAAATGACAAATTAGAGAATAGTACAGGTACATATAAACGATGTAGTATCCGTGACAGCAGACAACAAAGGTGTCGAGAATATCAAAGCTTTGCCGAAATTTCGTGAACTATAAGAACTTTAAATTTGGGGTTTATGCGATAAAAGTCAGACAACTCCAATCCCTCCTTCGAAGTCATACAGCTGAAACATACAAATATGTTAACGAAATGTCGAATTCCACTCAGGCAATGTCAGGAGAAATTAGTTATTTGTTCCTCCTTGTTATAATGTCGATCATTCATTTACTAATTTCACAGCTACCCTAATATTTTGAAACGAAATCATGCCCCGTAACATCCTTTCACCTCATGATTGAGCGCAAGGCCTGCCATAATTACATCTATCAGTGTCAACCCCAGCTTTCACTCCGCGGGATGCATCCCCACTTGGCTTGTCATAGTGTGACTCACAACCCGTATGTCATATTTCAAGATTGAGAAAAGGCTTTTCTTTAGAGCAAGACATAGTTTTGGAGCTAATCGCATTTATTAATCTCTTTCCTCGACCGTGAATCACACAATACGTGGGGATTAGGGAAACAATGGGTAGGGTGCAAGGTGCGGCTTGATGGAGGTGGGGCTTGATGGGGGGGGGGGGGGGGGGGACTGGGGTAATAGAAAGCTACTTGATAACCTTGATAAACTGAATAAAAACGGTCTGTCTCGAAGGCTAAATAAGTATTGTGAGTAACATTGACCCAATTGCATGATCGAAAATCAAGGGATCTGTTTAAAGGGAAATACACACTCTAATATCAGCTTGCTTTTGTTGAATGTATACAGAATAGGCATGTATTTAATTTTAGAAAGCGATGGAAAAGAAAGTTAGTGGTGTTCGAAAAAATCAATTATGATTATCGGCCTTTAGAATTGATGTAATGTGGGACAACTCTCTACTCATTTTAGTTGTGTTTACCTTAATTTTTTGCCGAACATGTGTAATGAATAACCCGATGTCATAGTAAAAAGAAAGTAAATCCTAAAAACTCTAAATTAGAGTATCGAAAATTGTCAATCTTTAGTCACTTAAATGCAAAACTATTGTCAGATCGTTAGCGTTGTCAAATATTTCAATTATAGACGTAGGAATAATTGTGGAGCGCCAGGAATGTCAAGTCTGAAAGACATGAGCACTATAGAAGAACCCACTTTTGTATTATTATCGTTATTAAATGATATGCTAATGGGATAAGAAACATTAACCTAAGAAATATGGTCCGATTCTCTGCTCATCTTTCACTCTTTCAGAAACTTTTGGTTTTCAAAGTTAGATTTCACCGATAACTCAAGTACTCTCACTGCAAGCTACCTCGTCCCCAGTTGGGGTTGCCCTTAAAGGTCCCATCAGAGATTTGCAGATTTGCATATTTCGAATTTTTTTATCTGTATAGGGGTAAGTAGGGGTAAGATCAAGAGACTCTGTAGTTTTCTCTCTATGAGTGAAAAGTGAATCCTTCATTTTGTACACAACACATTTAGTGAACAAATACTTTCAGTTGCAAAACTCAAATTTGAAAGGAAACTTTTTGCTAATAATGATTATTTTGCCACCAACATTTTTTGTAGTAATTTTCAAATTTGAGTTTTTGTATACAACTTTTTGGCCTTTGTACAATTTTTGTGATTTTCACAATGTAAATCCCCGCATCACCTTTTGAAGCAACTCTCCCCGGTCTATATGTGATGTATGAGTAATTTTGAATCAATTTACGGATATGAAATGCCCTGGGATTGGTCACCCCAACCTCCTATTGTAAGCATGGTAATGGTGCAGGAAATAGTACTCATGGGAGATTTCCGTTCGAAAGTAACTCAATGTTCAGTATGTGAACTTTACCTCCACTCCCCAACCCCCCCCCCCCCCCGCTCCCTGGTTTGCCGGCACAAACCCTTGTCAGTTGTTGTGAGTAACGAAGTCTGCACTGTGATACTACAATGGGCTATGTACTGCATGTAGCTGCTCCTCCTGCCACAGCCTAAAACTGACAGACCTAGGCTCTACTCAAGATATAGGAATTGTGGTGAAGTGTCATATTATACAGTTTGTGCTTGAAGACCCCCCCCCCCCCCCCCCCAGCATTACCTTGCACACTGTTCCATGGTTAGATGCTTTGTTAACTGTTGTACCAGCAGAGAGTAAAGCGGGAGAGGTAGAGAGTGAGAATGAGAGAGAGAGAGAGAGAGAGAGAGAGAGAGAGCGAGAGAGAGGGGGGGGGGGTATTCAAAAGAGAGACATTTTCAGGAAGCAAGGGGCAGGCGCATTGATCTAACATATTGATTTTTTTTCTCCAGAAGTATTGAAATGGGCAACCGACCCCACGGTATACTTATTATCATCGCCGTATCATCGCCTACAGACAACATACGATCAGAGCAGTGAATAATTTTCCTTTAGATATTTTCCATTAAGATTAATAAGAACAGACCAAAAACAAAGAAAGCAACATCAACAACTACAAATATTTTACATGGAAGTTGACGGAAGATGATTTGGGTTCGTTCCCACTCCCCTGGGATGTTGGTTTCGATTACTCATAACGCTGACATCGTTTTCAAATATAGGATGGTAGCAAATCCCATCAGACAGAAATAATGAATAAATGGTGCACAAAGAGCCAAATTTAGCTCAAACCGATGTCTCCTTTCTATTCCCAGAGGTCATTTGCGACACTAGTTTCTTTCAAATAAAGCTCGTTTTTTGCTATTAAACTGTTAACACGTAACCTTGGACTGAACTTTTCGAAAAGGAGTTTACATTATATGGAGTAGAAGAAATTTGAAGGATGATTCTTCCTGCCTCTTACCCGGGAAAAACTCTTGGAAAGGCCCCCTATCATGCCCATAAACTT